GATAGGTGGTTATTCAGTCCTTTAGAACTAAGCAAAAGTCTGCAGAGATTTTGAAGTCAATAGATAGTAGACACATTCCTTCTTGAGGTGAATGGTGCATGTATATTGAAATTTGAGACGTTTTTCGTTACCTTTATTCGGAACGTTTGTTAATCGCAATAATATCTAACACTTGTCGACTACGTTCCGCAGAAGCAGAACAAGTTCTACAAAAATTCCCATTCGTTTCGGATAGTCGGGAAAGGAGACTTGCTGCACTAATTACTTTAATTACTTTTTTAGGAGTCCCTTTCTGTAGATCAATCCTAATTCCATGTTTGACTTGAGTAGTACATCTCATTGAGGGATGTCTCAACTCTAATTCTCCCAAAGCAGTTTTTTCCTTACGAAACCATCATTACATGTCGCTGCCTCATAACGCGAACGGAATTATCTTTATGTTCAGCAACAGACTAATCTTTTTGTCCGTAACTACTAAGATAAGTAGATCAGAGTTGAACACTAAGGAGTGGTAACAATACATACTGAGATACTGAGTTTCCATAAGAAAGAAGAACTAAAAGTTTGAACAAGCTTTGAAAAAGCTTTTGAGAACTGAGGCGTTTTGCGTTAAATTCCTTTGTTCTCAAAACATATGAAGGTATTCTAGAATCCGTGGCCATCTGTTGGGGATCGAGGTATAGTACTAATGCAGTCAAACGCATTAGTGGAAAATCGACCATAAAAGCGATTCCTTGTAAGATTGCGGTAAGATGAAATCTCTTGCGAGTTGACAAATAAATGGCAAAAAGTGTAGCAATTATGGCGGCTCCTCTTACAATTTCCTTCCACTTAAAAATCGAGACTTTACTATCTCTGATTTTTGCCCTTGTGTTAAGGCAAGGTTCCTTGTAGGCTGTGTGTTTGAAATTGTTGGAGGTTAAAGACCATAGTTTCAAATTGCCGCTTTTTTTGGAAACTTAAGATTTTTTTAGAAGTCCAAACTTTTCTTGGCATGCAGTAGGAGCAATGTGAATAGCCCTTTTTGAAGCTTTGTCATTTTTTTTGAGTTTGGGGACGGTAGGTGCTATCAAATTTTATAGTTTCAGCTGGTGGACTGATACGGCGCAATTTGGCGGTAGCGGTTCTGCACTAATTTCAAAATATATTTATTTAAATGATATTCACTGTCATTTCCGATTCTCTGTTCTTAGTCAGTTTATGTATAAGCGTTCAAAGCGGGAAGACTTCCTGAGAAAATCCATAAAAAATCAAAGACCTTTACGACGAAGTCACAAGTTATGTGAAAACCGTTGATATAAAACTGCAACAGTGCATTTTCATAGGAGAATGATAGAACTCCTAAAGGGAAAAACTTTTCGGAGAATGCCTAGCACATTAACTTTCTATATTTATATTCTCGATGGAATGAAGGTCCGTGCCAAAGAACAGATTTATTAAGGAGTCGTATCGCTATTGATCGAATCAATTCACTATCCGCTAAAAAATAGCTGAGGTATTTTCTCAAGATTTCCATATTAGCATTTGAAAACATTCTACGCGAGGAAGCGAAAGAGTTCTCTTTGAAGTTTTCATGCTACTCCCATATCTGCAAAATATTTTTTTCCATGGTCAGAAGGCTTATTAGAAGAAAATGTTCATTCTCGAAGCTCTCGTGGTGTTTCGTGTGCTGTCGTTTACTTTGACGGCTATTTCAACTCATTTAAAGCCCTCCTTATGAAAATCAAAGGCTCCCCAATCAGTCCTAA